ATGATAATGGAGGTAGTGATGATGGTGGTGGTGGTAGCGAATGTGATGATGGTGGTGATTATGATGATAATGGAGGTAGTGATGATGGTGGTGGTTGTAGCGAAGGTGATGATGGTGGTGATTATGATGATAATGGAGGTAGTGATGATGGTGGTAGCTAAGGTGATGGTGATCCTCTGGTTTCGTTTTGTATATTCAGCGGTGAGATTCCATGCATCTAACGACGAATTTTTCCGGTTCCTCCTTTCTCAGGTAGTAATGATGTATAACGGTTGTAGTGGTGATGATTGTTGTGTTTATGGTGTTAATAATAGAGATGGCAGCCATAAAGATGATAGTAGTAATGATGAGATAAAGATAATGGTAGGGGTAGTTATATGGTGGTGCCGGATTATGAGTGATAATAATAGTATTAAATAACGCTGGGGGATTCAATTACGCCATAATGAAACTATATAGTTACTTTATTTACTTAACTTACTTTACTTACTGCAGCCAAAAGCTGTATTGCGTTAGGATTTACTAACATAATTGAAATAAAATGAAAAGCTATATAAAACTAATGAGATCATCTGCCCTGGAATGGCTTATGGTCAACTCTTTTTATCTATTATACACATCAAGTGGTTCATAATAAAACTGTTCTTGCATCTTGCATCGGTTAAATGAAAGTTCTCGAGTTAAAAACATGAAAGAAAGAAACAGCACGTTTAAAAAAAAACGAATAAAACCGCCTTAAAGTAATTCATTTTTCAAAGCTAATGATAAAGATCACTCTTTCATTAAAAAGTAATGTTAACCACTAGATAAAGATAAGGTTATCGTCATTCTATCTTGCTGCTTTTCTGCTTTTGATTTTATTAGTTTATTGCCGTTTTTACATTTCTGACAATTGGACAGCGATGTTGTTCACAGTCGAAGGGTATAAGGGGCGTGGCAACAGTACGCTAATCATAGCTAATTTTCTTATTGTCTTCAACCTCTTACTTCAAAATAACGAAATGAATAGATATAATACAAAAGTTTTATGTAACTGGCGAGTCCTTGGTAGAGCAGTACCAGCAGTAGCAGTAGCAGTAGCAGTAGCAGTAGCAGTAGCAGTAGCAGTAGCAGTAGCAGTAGCAGTAGCAGTATCTGAGTTTATAAAATAAATTAAATAGTACGCACTCTGTGATTGGTTGATAGCCATGTTTGCATGAGGATATGTAAACACAGTTGTGACGTCACAACTTTCGTGTTTTCCCAGTACAAGTTCAAAAATTAAAAATTTACAGTTTCTTTCGAGGAAAAAAACGCCCCCAAAAATGTATTTTGAAGACGAAGTTCCAAATTTTGACTTGTGTCAGGGCCATAGGCATAACCCTATGGTCTCATGTAGGTCTTTCTGATCGTAATATCATGACAATCTCTCGTTGGTCACCGCAAAGAGAATTCCCTCAGGAGCTACAACACACGTCCTCCGTCAGGACAGCTGCGGTTGTTCAGCGACGTGCTTTCTCATGATTTAAATGCACCGCCCGATAAAGAATACATGTATTTCAAGGAAACAGTCAGCAGCTTCAAACTTTTTCCAGCGATAGCTCTTMAGCTCCACAAAATATCTTCTCGAGGCAAGACGAAACAATCAACTTCGCTGCCATGTTTTCTCGCTGTCAAATTGAGCAAAACCACGTTTCTTTCAACCGAGAATTCCATTCACAGCGACACTTGTTATCCACTTTTGATCACTTTCGTAAAGATAATCAATTCTGAAATCTCTTATTAAGATTTCTATTCAATCTTTGGACATTTCTTTGTATTTGTTTTAATGTTTTAGAATGATAAATGTTTAAAATAGCTAGCGATTCTTTCTCGCTTCACATTTGCCTCCTYGKCGTTTATTACACAAAATTTGATTGGCTAACGATCGAAGTTCGTGAAGTATGGAGAATTTGTATTTTGATACGAGAATCAAATTCAAATAAAGATTTATTTTCTTGCAAGTGGTAATGTTTTCCCTTAGTATTTATTTTATAAAAGCAATAGAAAACTTTTTTTCTCTGTGTTTACATAGCCTGATAGCAACACTCGGGGGGTTGGGAGAATTCTCGACGGTTATGCAAACCCTCGACTACGTCTCGGGTTTGTATAACTGTCTCGAATTCTCCCAACCTCCCCTCGTGTTGCTATCAGGCTATGTAAACACGGAAAAAGTTTTCTATTGCTTAAATAGTAGTAATAGTGGTGGTAGTGAGAGTAGTAAAGTAATCTTACTTTGACTGTTGGTAACTTTGTTTCTCGTGCCAAGTAAACAAAAGAAAACAATGGAATTAGTGTACTATGCCAGTATTATGCTCACTATTTTTCACCTTTCAGTTTTATCTTAATTGGGCTCCCTGTGCCTAAAACAGTGGGAGCTCCGCTTTTAGTCAGTGCCTAGATTTATATATTGCTTATCTTTTTCCGACGTGCYTAGCAAAATCACTCTAGCAGCACCAGCAAGACTAGAATGATCTTTCAGCTCTTAAAAAGTAGATCTCCGACATCAGTAGTAAAGTAATGATGAAAAAATACAGACGACATGAAACAATGTTAATAAATATCGCGCGGTGTCCATTGTTCAACTATTATTAATAAGTTACTATAAAAATTAAAGACAGGTCAAGTAACAGAACTATTGCGTTATAAAAGCAATGCTACTAATGGTACTAGTAAAATGAATCTGACAAGGTTAGCTTTTTCAGTATAGTTCATAAATTGTTCACACTTTTTTTTCAAAAATATTCAACCAAAAAATAATAGAGTTCTAGTTATTTTAAAGTTCTTGTTAAATATTGTAGTACTTTGAAGCATATGGTTTTAGGATAACGGTTATCTAGTATTTTGATTAATTTTTTTCATTAGTCATATTCGAGTAGAGTTGTTTCTTGGTTCTCTCCTATGCTTCGAAAGTTTCTCTCCAATTAAAACTTCTAAATAACAATTTGAATTTAGAGAATAAAGAACTACTCGTAGAAATGCCACTGTTAAACCCCATTTTTATTTTTTATTGTTTATCAGGCGATTATTTCACATCACAATCGTTTTTTGTTTTTTGTTTTCGAGTAAAAGGCCGCTTCTTAGGCCCCGTCCACACGTATCCGGAAATTTTAGCATCTGCCAATTTCTTTTTTGTGGATACGAAAATGCTCGCGTCCGCACGCAGCGTATTCGAATAAGCCTTTTCATAGTTTAAGAATCGATTCCATTGTCCACACGTACCCGGAAATTTCTTGATCCGCCCTGATGCACGCTATCGCCTAGTCCCTTTGACGGATAGTTTTTTCTTATTGAGCATGCGCAAAATCGTGTTAACGTCAGCGTATTCGAAAATTTGCGGATACGACCGTCCACACGTATCCGTATTCTAAAATTTCCACTCTGGAGACCGTTTTCGAAAATTTCCGGATACGGATACGAAAATGTCCGGACACGTGTGGACGCAACCCGTATCCGCAAATAAAATTGGCGGATACAAAAATTTCCGGATACGTGTGGACGGGGCATYAAAAGATTTGTTCCCAATCCTCTGAAAATCCTTTGTTTCAAAACTCAGTGGCTTGTGGAGGCCTATATTTACGACCAGTGATGGACACAAAGAAAAATAAGACTTAAAAGACTCCTACCACGCGCGTTTATGAAAGGACCACGACTTTTTCTAATTTATTAAAATTAGTGACTTCCAAGTTATGAATATTTTATCTCATCGCGGGAGAAAATTTGAGGGCATTCTGAAGATCCTCAATGCGTGCCGAATTCATCCTCATTTGTACCTTGCTCTAAAATCTTATCGAGTAAACTAGAATTACGAATTTAGGCTGCAATTTGGTGATGGCCTATAGCTAAGTGGTTCCTAAACTAAGCTCTTGGTTTTCAAATGCGATAGCCATAGTCCTTAAGTTATTTCGAATCTCCTTAATTCGATTGAACAGCATTTTATTGAACGGCTATTGACGTTGGTTGTCGCAAATCTTGCCTTTAATGGCCTTTTATATCAATGTACATAATTATACGTCCATCTTGTTGAATTTTCAAGGCGTTAGGCGCAAAATGTGTACGACATAGCATTTTTGAGTGAATAGTACACGAATATTCAGCATGCGATAGACTGACGCAGTTTTAGTCGAAACATCAATTTATCACTCGTATTGTTTTGTGTTTTATCTTCGTTTTATTTATCATTTTTTCGAGCTTCAGAGAACAATAGAATAACTGAGTGTTATTAATAACACAGTCATGTAACGTACACTCGGAATATCCTTTATTTATCAACTTAGAACTAGAAATTATTAGACATTTTTGTTAGTTTTCACTTAGCTTTGATGGCGGGTAACAAGGAAAACATATCGTCGAGGCCATCCGGCCATTAGCAGTGACAATTAGTTAGTTCTAATATATTGCAGGCACTTATATGGACTAAACCAGGGGCTAAAGTGTTTGTATGTAGCTATGATTTCAAGGTATATGTGTTTGATAAGTTAGGGGGTATATATATATATATATATATATATGTATGTAATTGATAAAAAATCTTTGATCGGCTGTCCCTTTTATCGAACCCTGAAATGGCGGAAATAACCATTATCTGATGTAAGTCAGGGCACGCCTAACTAACAGATCGAACCCCGAAACTACCTCTGTGCTGATGTAAGTCATCGCATGGCTAACGCACAGATCGCGAACCCTGAGACAATCTCTGTGCTGATGTAAGTCAGCGCATGGCTAACGCACAGATCAAACCCTGAAACAACATCTGGCCTGATCTAAGTCAGGGCACGGCTAACTCACAGATCGAACCCTGAAACAACCTCTGGGCTGATCTAAGGCAGCCAACTTGAATTTTTATGCTGAGGTTTTGCGGATGGAGGAAAACCGCAGAACCTGGAGGAAAATCCTCGAAGCATTTTTTTAAAGCAAAAGAAATGTGCGGGGTTTTTTTTCTTTCTTTYTTTTTTCTATTTTTTTCTTCTTTTTTTTCTTTCCTTTTTTTCTTATTTTTGTGCTGATATCTTACTGGGTATTCTACCATCACGGCTATCAATAAGACMTTTCTAATACCCAACCTGTTAGATATACTATTCTTAACACCTCAATACTTTGTTTCTACTTCTAAACCGAATCAATAACTGAAAAAGCCATATAATCCTCTGTTTGGATTTGATGTTTGCTATACGATTTTAATCTGGCATTTATTTTCCTAATTCTTTACTTTAGCTACTTTAGCTCTTACGCGAAACCGATTTAGCAATCTTTCACTTAAGATCAAAACCCTTATTGATGACAGAATGTCGAGCTATATCCGACAGCCTATCCGACACTTAAAGATCCGAACGAACGGCTTTGTTTTTAAATTCAAGTGTGGTGTTTTTCCAATCTCATTTATTTTATTACTGATCTAGTTTCGCCTCAGGCGACTTTTTTCAAAAATCCAACTGCTTTAAAGTGGCGTGCCGTAAACTGTGGGAATACATATAGCGGTGTTTCTATTATGACTAGTTTTGGTGTTTTCAACTTCTAATTGTTCTGTTTTATTAGGAGCGTCTTTGGGATTGTTTTCTTCGTAGCTTTCGTCTTCGCGACGGCTCGGTGGTTCTGAATCAAGCGAAGAGCACTCATCCGGGGGTTGTTGAATTATAATGCTCGTAGATCCGCTATTAATATTATTCTGTTGCAAAAGTTGGTCATTGTGGTTTGAGTTGTCAGTCTCTTCCTCTTCGTGTTTGATTCCGTGGTTTTCTCCATTCTTTCTTACTTGTAACGGCACCACGCTATCAATTTCTGTCAAGGAACTTTTCCTTCGTAACCTTAATCGAAGTTCATTACTTTTTCGATTTAGTGGGTCAAGTATAATCGCTTTGAATGCAAACCTAAAGTATCCAATAAAAAGAAAACATACGATAGGATTGGTCATGCAGCTCATATACGAAAATAAGATCGAAATAAACTTGTACGTTCGGTTGCAAATCCTTTCCGGCATGTTCGGAGCGTACGAACATGAAACCCAGCCGATCCAATAAGGAAGAAAGCAAGCATAAAAAGTGATGATGATCACTCCAACCATTACTACCACTCTTCTTTTAATATGATCAGACTTTTTTCTTTGTGTGACGAGCCTCATCCTTGGATCTTTACGACGGCATAAATTAACAGCAATAGCCGTGTAGAGGACGAGAATTACTATCATCACTGCACAGAGTATTATTATGAATGCTAGATACCACTGCCTCCAGGACGAAATGAAGCTCCGAACTTCACACTTAAGACCCCGTTTTGTTACTATGATATTCCCGAAGTGGAGTATAGGCGACCAGTACACGACGCTGCCAATCCACAAGGCCCCTGTTATGAACTTTACATATGGTAGCTTTATAACTGTCTTATAAGGAGAAAATACCGCTAGGAATCGTTCCACTGACAGAGCTCCAAGATGCGTAACAGACACCGTGATTGAGACCTTCTCGACGAAGTTCACAATCTTGCAAAGTATAGATCCCATCACCCCTGGAACAAGCCAAGAATCGTTGGTTAAGATTCTTGTCATTCGCTCTGGGAAGCTCCAGACTGTCATGATAAGGTCTGACAGTGCCACACTTGCAATCAGGAGATTACTCACAGTCCTCATTCTCCCATTAATATTCCGTTTGATCGCTAGAATCAAGAGACAATTACCGACCAAGCTTGTCAACAGAATAATACTATATGCAGTGGTCTTGAATGCTTTCGATACATTCGATTCTTCGAACACGGACGTCATCCTCGCAGACCTCGTATCATTTCTTGTTCTATTCATATTGTAGGCGTTTCAAAATCACTAGAGTCACTTTCCAGCACTATTTTCACTATATTTCAAGTCTAGCTGAGAAAATTCTCAACACTTCTTGTCTCTTGCAGCTGTCAAACTCAATTCATCATTTTTTCTTTTAAGTTTTCCTCTTGGCGACAAGTTCTTCGGCTTTGAATCTTCGCTCCAATTAAGTCTTTCAGTCTGCCAGCTTAGTAGAACTGATGTGTTGGCGAGGCAGGATAATTTGTATTTATCCTAAAGGATACCAAATATTATCCAGCTTTCAGTAGCTGAGGACAGGGGAGTTGACCTGGGCGCCAGACTAAAGAAAATTGACTTGCAGATCTTTAAATTTGCAATCCAGTATATCGGCCTAATGTGATCAAATAACAATTAGCTTTTCAGCCATAGTTTTCATAATTTAGTTTCGAAAGGCTTTACAGAAGTGCTTATTACTAAGAACTAAAGAGCAAACCAGAGACTGATTTGTCAGCTATGCTATTACTTACCTCGACACGTTATTGCAGAATGATTTGACTATTTCTAGAACCAAGATATTAGACCAATGAATTTTTAGCGTGTCATCGCTTCAGTATAGAGTTGTTGAAACGAAACTCTTCTCAGTCATATTATTAGAATAGAACTCTTTCAACTTGGAAATCTCTCAGATCCAAGCGTTCGGTCGTTAAGTCCTCTGCCCCGACCCCCCCCATGTGGGGACACTCCAAATGATCAAAAAAAAATCGAATGTTTTTGTGCCTTGTTTCTCATTACCAGCAGCATTTGCAACTAACCGACGCCTCGATAATTGTTTGGTTAGTTATGGTTTTATTACATCATTATTCTGCGGAAGTAGAGTCCATTTGAGCCCTTCTGGCAAACCCACTAGGATTATAACTTCCGGTCTCCCACGCCAAATTTTCGCTTCTTCTCTCCGCACGCAAGCCCAAGCTTGATAGTTCGAAAAGCACTTACACATAGTTAAAATATCTGAATCCGATAACACGTCCGATATGCTTTCAAATGTTTCTTATTTGGAGCACTGAGCTATGACCTACGCCAATTTGATGTCTGTTATCATTGTGCATGCCTGTGGAACGAATCTGTATTGAAGCTAGCTTTGTGAAGACATAGTTAATAACTATGGTGAAGATTAATATCTTCATTAATTAATGTTTTTAATTAGTTCTGAACAGTTGCCAGTACTCGGTGTTCCCCTTGTTCTACATGGGTTTCTATTGTTCTCATCGCGGAAAAGTTGAGTATCTGCGAGATTACTGGAAATATTTTCGACGTATTTGTATTCTTGGATTGTCGGTATCTTTGTGTTACCATTCATTTCGAGCCAGGAATTAGGAGAAATAGACTTCACTTATGCAGTGGCGGATCCAGGATTTTTCAAAGGGGGGTTCCGTTTCTTAAACTGTGTATAATTCTCTTTTGTTTAGTCGATGTTTGACAAAAATATTGGCTCTAATCACCTAATTTACTATCTAGTAACGGACCAAGCTATAATAACACGACCCAACGCAAAACTACTAATATTTTTTAAATAAAAATTTACATAAGACATATTTCTATTACCTAAAAGACCAAACCTTCAAGGGGGGGTTCCGTAGACCCCTTCGACCCTTCCCCCCCCCCCCCCCCTGGATTCGCCACTGTTATTTATGTAATTTCAAGGACCTCCAAAACTCATAGGGCAGAAAAATAATTAACCTTAGCTGGAAAGAGCATGCTGAAATCAATAAAATTGTGAAGTTTGAAGGAAATGAGTTCAAAACTCGTGAAGATATAATTTTTGAAAAGTCTGAGTTTCGTAAGAAAATCTTTGGTGGAAGCAAAAGTTTCCTCCAACAAATGTTTCCTTACAAAATTTCGAATTTTTAAATTTCATATCTTCGCGATTTTTCATCTTACTTCCTTCAAACTTTTCAGTTTTATTTATTTTAAAACGCTCTTTCAGCTATGTTTTTTTTCCGGGTCCTGTGATTTTTTGCATGGAATTACACGATAACTGAAAGTGGCACTGTTTACAAAACTAGCCCTTCCCACCAGCCTTATTGTTTCAGACTAACCTTATCCTGTAAATTACTAAGCAAAGTCGGTAGACATGTTAAGTTTCCTGAAGATGACAGCTTGACAAAAAATATTCAGTTAAACTTAGGGATTAAGTAACCTGTAAAATATTAGAGACGTGAAAATGTTGGTACTTTGGAATTTGATTGAGTTGCGCGCTATCAAAACTGAAGACCCCCTAAGCCACCAGTCTCTCTTGCCTGAACTTCTGTCGCTGTAAACTAAATGAATTACCTTTTATACTCATTTTATCTATATATCTATGCGTGCCACAGTTGTCTGCACCGAATTGCTTTGGTCTTAAGTTCCTACAGAAAAATTCAATTTTGCTAACAAGGAAAGATAACAGACCCAACAAGTTAGTTCGGACCAACTTAACCAGCTTGAGTGTTGTAGGATCAACACAGGGAGCCCAAGCTAGGTTCCTGTGGTGCCATGTTATGAGAAAATGCGATACTTAAAAAACTCAATGAAATCGTCAAAATGTGAAATAAAATAAAGAAATCTTAGCTGATCTTTTTCGCCCTGTGTACTTACATTTTGGATTTGATCAGTTTTAACGTTTGATTAAATCCAAAATTTAAGTACACAGGGCGAAAGAGATACTACTTTTTATAGGTCGGCTAAGATTTAGGCCTAAGGCAAACGTCGAACTTTCCATGCACCGAACTTAATTACATCAAAGAATGCCGCCTCATTATCACCTGATATCCATTGTTTTTAATGAGTTCGGTGCATGGAAAGGTCGACGTTTGCCCTAGGCCTAAATTACTTTATTTCACATTTTGACGATTTTATTGAGCTTTTTAAGTATCGCCATACATTTTCTTATAACATGATACCACAGGAACTTAGCTTGGGCTACCTGTGGAATCAAAATCATATCGATATCGATATTCTTTAGCTTCTAAAGTAGTTTGGTATAAACATAGGTAATATTAACCATGATATAAACCAAAAGGAAGACGGCATATTGTTATAAACATTCTTAGCTGTCTACAGCTTTGTCTCCCCGATTAGTAGGGCGCTTGTGCCCGGCTAGAAGAATTTCGAGACATTGATAAAGTTATTATTATATATAGATCTCGTCTTAGGCCTAGGGCAAACGTCGAACTTTCCATGCACCGAACTCATTAAAAACAATGGATATCAGGTGATAATGAGGCGGCATTCTTTGATGTAATTAAGTTCGGTGCATAGAAAGTTCGACGTTTGCCCTAGGCCTTAGTTCACTAAATATTTTCCACGAGTTTTTTTTCAAACTCACTAGTAAATTAAAATAAAAGAGAATAAGGAGGCTCGAAACCGTTTTTCTTGAGCGCGCGCGCGCTCTAGGTCCGATGACGTAGAACTTGCAAAAGGAAAATTTTCGTACTCATAAATTTTATGTTCAAACTGAAAAAACTCAAAAATGCTGCGGTGAAATGTCTTGAAATTTTGCATAGGGCTTTAGTTTATGTTTTCAAAAACTTAAGGAAAAGTTTTAAAAATTCTGTAAAAGGAAACTATTCCAAACAAATTTCATTGATTTTTACGAATTCCCTTTTACAGAAATTTTTCTTTTTTTGTCAAAAAGAAGATAACGATACAAAGTTGAAATATTCCGGTTTTTAAAAAATTTCACCATTTCGTTCCCGAGTTATGATTTTTTAAATAAACATTTTTGATGACACACCAAGGGTTCTGATGTTGTCATGGCAACGTCTTACGTCATTTTTTCATGTTCATTGTGATCTTTRGTTTATAGTCTTTGGCTTACCTGGTTTACTTGCTGTTATATTATAGTCATATTAATGTTTTTTAGTTCATAATGTGAAGGCACAAAACACTTCCCAGCCTCCATAACGTGTCTTAACTAAATTGTCTTTTAAAAATATCACATCCAAAATAAACAGAGTATAATTTATTAAATCGTAGTTACAAATTAATGCTAGCATAATATTTTGGGCCACTACTGTTTTAGAGTGTATTCTAGCCATTAAAGTTTAAAATTAACAGCTGATGAACAGAGTGGTTTGGTTTTGGAAAAGAAAATTGAATATCCATTCGACCATAAAGATGTCAAACTAAAAAGTCCAATTAATTTTTTTTCCTTTTTTTATTTTTATTTTTATTTATTTATTTATTCATTTTTTCCTTTTTTTTATTTATTTATTTATTATTTATTTATTTATTGTTTTTTTTTTATTTTATTTTATTTCTTTATTTTTCTTTATTTTTTATTTCTTTCTTTCTTTTTTTTTTCGAATTATTTATTTTCCTTTTTTTTCCTAAAAGGTTAAATAATTTTATTTCACACAAAATCTGCTTAATAAATTGTCTTTTTTGGAGCTTTTGCTCTTAAGTAAAAGAACTTAGAAATTATTGTCATTTATGGTACTCCATTCTATTTATTCTAAGTCAGTCTTTTATCGCGAAACCCAATTTTTTAAAAATCTTAAATTGCCTTTATTGAAACCTTTTTCTTAAGTATATAATTTTTGAACTCTTCTTGAAAACGAGCTTTTAGAATGTTTTTTTTTTTTTTAAATCTTTATGACATTTCAAAAGGGATATATCGAAAAAGAAATACGTTGATTTCGAAGATATAGCTTTTGATCATAAAAGTACATTTGTTTTCTTGTTCTGAACTAATTTGTTAAACGTTGTCAGGCATTTTGAGTGGTTTCTTTTGTTAAGTGCCATCTGATTTTTTTGCGGGTTTTCATTACTTCCACATTTTTAATTAAAAAAAGAGAAA